ACAGACTACCGCAGCTGTAGCAACATTGCCGCTGATTTATGAACAGTGAATGCAAGCATTAGCAACTGCCATATCTTTTTCAATAGGCATGTAAAGTGTGACCAACGAGACCTATGGAGAAAAACAACCTTGCATGCTTGCGAACAGATGCTCGGCACAATTTGGAGACAGAATGGAACGAGGTCTGTTTGCAAGAGGGCAGAATATATTAATTACAAAGTTCGATCTTTGAGGTGAAGCATGCTAGAAGAAGCCCATGCGGCACATGACTGCTGCTCGCCAGACAGTTTATTCTGGGAAATCCAAAGCTGTCGACACAGGGATGGGAGTGTGTGAGTAGCAAGGGTGGAGAGACGGAGAGAAAAAAAGAAATCAGCATAAAATTAAAAGGAGTGAACTGAATTGGCAAAGGCCATATGGCTTCGGTAAAACCACAGGGGCCGACCGTGGTCCTTTTGATCTGTCGTGGCGAACGTCAACCCCCCATCAGCCTATGACAAGTCCTCAGCACAACCACATAAAACTGTTCTTCCACAACTACTTGCATTGCTCTCTAACTTATCCATTAATGAAAAAGACTGCTGTAGAAGGGGTGTGTGATGAAATACATCAAAATACAGACCAGCTTAAAGTCGACCATGTCTTGAGTTGAGAGAAACAAGCTGTATTTCTACATAAAAAGTTTGCTAATCAGTATTTTTGTCCTTTTTTCAGAAAAAAAATGGACACATTTAAACCTAATTAAATTTAGCTGAGAAGGAAAAATGGCATAATATACTTGAATAACGTTGATTTTTTTATAAACTTAATGCCACTGGCAATTTTTTATTGTTTTAAACATAAACTTAAAACATATACTTAAAATAATAATAATACAAACATTTTCTTCCAAGGAACACCAAACGTAAATCTTTAAATATTCTTTATGCAATCATATGCAATTGCTTCCCAAGAAAAGTTTAACTTATTTTAAAGTTATTATTATTAATATTTAAATGTTTTAAATACATTAAGCTGGGAAGTAAAATTAGCACAGTACATCTTGAATTAAGTTTATTTTTCTTACTCGACTGGCAGTTTTGTTGTTGTTTTAAACAACACTTTTTTTTTTTAAGTTTTTCTTCCATGGAATACTAAAAGTAAAATTTTGAATATTCTTTATGCACAAAATGTTTGCTTCTCAAGAAAATGTATCTTATTTTAAATATAGTAACATTTAAATAAGGTAAATTGTCTTGAGAATACATAATATTAATATATTAAATATATTAAATAAATTTAGCTGAGAAGTAAACTTTTTTAAATGATTTAATTATGCTTATTTTTCCTACCCCGCTGGCGTTTTTAAAATTGTTTTAAACATAAAACTAAAAATTGAATTTAAATTTTTTTTGCTTAAAATAATAAGCATTATTTTTAAGCTTAAAATAATAATAATGATAATAATAATAATGAATACAATCATTTTCTTCCAAGGAACACCGAAGTATGCTATTTTTGCTTCTCAAAAAATATCTTAAAGATATTTACATTATTTATTATAATATAATATTCATATATTCTAATAGATTTAGATATTTTTCCTCAAAAACAAGATTAAAATACTGATAAAAAAAAAAATTCCCTGCAATCAAACCGTAAGACTCAAGACTTTCAAACTCAGTTCACGTGTCTCTTCATGTGAAAATAAAGTGCTCCTACACTGGAGAAGTCATATGTATATATTTAAAAAAAAGTGAGAGGAAGGAAAGGACGTCCATCTGTGACTCTTTCTGCATGTCGGATGGGCCGATGTACTGTTTGGTGTAGTAGTCTCCTCTGAATGTTCGGCGTTGACGCAAGTAGAAAGCCCCCACCAGCGCCATCAGCAACACTAGGATCAGGATCCCACCGACAGCACCGCCCACGATAGTGCCCAGGCCGCTGTCTGGCGGAGAGGCCTGAGTCGGGCCGGTGAAGTGGGCATGCTGGTTGATGGGAGCGGTGATGGTTAAGCTGGTGTCAGGCAGGATGGACTTGCTGCGGGTGCTGGTGGGGGCTGCGGTGGCTGGTGGCGGCTCTGAGAGGGCGAGATATTGGCAAATATTAAAATATAGGCAAACGGTTGTGAAGTAAATTTACCAATATTAATATTCTGGCTGGTACTGATAATCTGATATTAAAATGTATACTACTAAAACAAAATAAATTGAGCTGTAAATTGAGCATAACACTAAACTAAAACTAAAACCATAAAACATTTTTTATTTGAAATATATTCATATATATATTTCAAATTCAAGTATATTTTGTTACTTGAAATAAAATAAAACATAAAACACTTATTTCAGCTTGTCACCAAGGCAACATTTCTCATTTTTTATTTAGTTTATCTCATTGTGTAAAATGATTAAAACTGAAAAAAAGAAAACAAAAAAACTATATAAAATAAAATATGAACTGAAAACTATATAGACATATAAAAACAATTAACAAAAAAAAAAGAAAAAACTAAAATTATAGTAAACCTAAAATTAAAATGACAACAGAAAATATAAAAATGAAAACTAATTCAAAATATGAATAAAAACAGTAACAGTATCTCAATGATACTAAAATAACCCTGGAACTATTTTTTTTTTTTGTACACCACTGGGAATTATTTTCTTGATTTAAAAAATCAAATCAAATAAAAATTCTGGTCAGTATTGACAAGCTGACAAGCTGTATACTATTTTGTCTCAATAATAATATATATATAATAATAAATATTAACCTTAAGTTTATTTGCATAGCACTTTTCACAGTACACATCGTTTCAAAGCAGTTTTAAAGAAAATCATGATATATACCTATATATCCATTTTATATAAAGAGCTGTCCAATAATATAGTTGCAGTCTGTGACAAAAAAAGGTAAATAAAAAAAATCTAAAAAAGTTGAGATTTGCTTTATAGTATATATTGCTTTATGTGAGTGTACTGTATGTATGCACATAAAGTTGGATATAATATATAGAACTGTGCAATAATACACACACACACAAAATAAAATGAATCAAGTTAATTTATGCATCAAAGCATCGAAACCTACAGTATGAAAGACTTTTATTTTGAGATTTGATAAAGATTGGATTTAACAGTGTTATTAATTTATTAGTGTTTTTAAAACATTTTAAATGCTAGATGACAAAAAATAAATTTAAATGTAAAAATATGGGAAATTAACAATTAAATATCCAATATCTGACAAATAAAAAAAATTTATTATTGACAGATATTGTACTAATAATTTTGTCCCAAAATCATCTTAGAAAAAAAAAAAAAAACACCTGTCAGCAGATGCTGTGAGGCCCAAGGAAAAACAATGTTTAGAGGCAGGTGGTTATTAAAAGGTTATTACTCAAGATAATAGGACATAACTTGCAATGACTAATAGGAAAAACTAAATCTTGCTGATGTAACAGCAGGTTCAGGCACCAAAGGGCACAATTATTTGAATTTGGAGGCCTGTGAAGACAGTAAGAATGAACAAGTCTTCAAGACAGGCACTTCAATCTTTTTGAGGGACATTAAATATATTGCACTTTTGGTTAGTATAAAATAACTATTTGGTGTATCCATTTCCTGTATGGGACGTCAACTGGGGACAATCCATGCTTGTGCACCACTAAAGTCCAAAAACTGCCAAAATATTTGGATTATGATTTGACCACAGAGCTAGATGATAAAGGTTCCTCATGTTTTGCTGCCTGAGGAAGAGCCAAATATGTGGTAAAAAGCACAGTGGCAAAGAGCTGATTGAATTGAAACTGCTGCGAGTTTTGTCCAACTTTATTTATGTCACTGCAGAAACCTCACTGGCCAAGTGTCGAACGTTTGGCACATTCAGCCAGCTCTCAGAAAGAGCTTCTGTTAACAGTTTTTTTAACAAGAGATTCAAGAATTCACATATTCAGTAACAGGAAGTACACACTGACTCAATGATACACAAATGTCAAACACAAGAAAACATCCTGTGAGCTTTGTCAGGTTTTTCAAGGCTGTTCCAAAATATCCAACAAGTTTAAAATAAATCCATGTTGCTGGACAAAGTGAAAGAAATCCACCAAAAAAAACTATCATTAATAGACTGCTGCAGGGATGATGTATTTTTGTAGGTCAACCCGGAAGTTCGCATCACCCTGGTTTCCTCAACAAAAAGCCAATAGTATTTTTATATTGACCTTTGGATTATTCCAGGAAATGAGCTCTGTGTTTATGATTCTTACACTTTTTGTTCATCAAGACAAACTCCACAACTTTTATGAATTTTCAAGCCTAAATACAGAAGTAAAAGCATGACTTCAACGTCACCACCATTAAGCTTTAGAAAATCTACAAGTTTGAGTTAGAATAGTTTGCAAGAATGCGGGTATGAACACAATGAGGCTGTAAAAGTGGACTATAAATAGATCAGTTTTCCTGTTAAGCATAATGACAATTCATGTCCCAGAAAACCTCTGTAGTCCCAGAACACCACTTGTTAGCAAGTGCCTTTTAAAAGCAAGTTGCAGAATAAAACGTGAAAATAGCTTGCGTTAACCACAGACCTTATTTGTGACCCTGGACCACAAAACCAGTCATAAGGGTCAATTTTTCGAAATTGAGATTTATACATCATCAATAAATAAGCTTTCCATTGATGTATGGTTTGTTAGGATCGGACAATATTTGGCCGAGATACAACTATTTGAAAATCTGGAATCTGAGGGTGCAAAAAAAAAGAACTATTGAAAAATCGCCTTTAAAGTTGTCCAAATGAATTCTTAGCAATGCACATTACTAATCAAAAATTAAGTTTTAATATATTTACAGTAGGAAATTTACAAAATATCTTCATGGAACATGATCTTTACTTAATATCCTAATGATTTTTGGCATAAAAGAAAAAACAATAATTTTGACCCATACAATGTATTTTTGGCTATTGCTACAAATATACACCAGCGACTTAAGACTGGTTTTGTGGTCAAGGGTCACATTTTAGGCATTTAACCAAAAAAAACATTGATTTTGAAACCATGGAACCAAAGTCCAAGAATGCTTGCTTTCGCGTTTTAGGACTCATTCCTCCATCACTCTATAATTCAATGAAATCATAAATGGGTTAATTTACTCAGGATATTTGTGTGTTAACTCAAGTTAACAGCAAATTCAGTATCAGTTGAGTCGATTCTCTGGTGCACTATGGAGCACTAGAGAGAGTTATGCCTCATTGCCTCACTTGAGTAAATGACTGTGTGTGTAAGTATGAATGGTGTCTGTTTCAAGAGGGTAGAGAGAATGTCAGGACATAATTTATCACTCAGTGATCCTCCCTCAAACTTTAGCCCCACATGGAGAAAACATCATCACTGGTATCTGTGGACCTGAAAGGTTACAAGAAACTTCTCACCTTGTACCAATAAGCGTACATCCTTAAATCTCTGCCCAACGTCATTCTGTACTTCACACCTGTATTGTCCAGAGTCGCTCGGCTCTAAAGGACGAGTAAACAGCAGGCTGCCATTAGATCTGTCCACACCTGCAGGCATTGGTGCGTCCAGTCTGGGGAGTGACAAAAGACATGATTATCAGTTTCGAGCTTGTTGATGACAAGTTTTGCTGCAGGACGTCACCCTGCAGCAACTTTGAATTCTCTTCTACAACACTGAAGCTGCCGAAGTTTACCATTGAACTGACATGACCAATAAGATTAGAAGAAGCAAACTTTAGTGTAGATGTGTACAGACCTGGTCCAGAGGTACATAAGAGCAGGTGGGTTGGCACTGGCTCTACAGTCCAGCTGTACATTTTTTTGTCCCACGTACCACACGTCCTGCTGGCCTATCACCGTAACATCTGGAGCAACTGTAACAATTTAAATAATTGTTGCATGAAGGCAGAATATGATCGCCTTGCTATAAAAATGTATAGCGCTTAGCAAAACATAAACCCTTTTCTTTCTTCCACAGAACACAAAAGAGGATATTTTGTAGGACTGGGTATTAAGACATATTTCACACAATTTGATTTCGTTTGACAAGCTCTCGATTAGATTTTAATTAATCTGAATATATATCAGATACAGTACAAATATATATCTCTTAACTAATGTTGTAAAATATACAGGGAACCTCTAGGTACTATAGCATTAATTATTAAAGGCTAAAAATTTAACTATTAAATTCAATTGCTATTAGTGCTGGTGTAACGCCCCTGTGGACTGTTTGTTGTGGTTTCTTCCCCTTGTGTTGGTTTAGCCCGTATAATCATTAGTTAATTACCCTCATTGTGTTCACCTGTCTGCCCCTCGTTATCTGCCCTATAAGTTCCTGTCTCTTGTATTCCAGTGCGGTCGGTTATTGTGAATGTTACCCCGAGTGTGTGTCTGTCTCTGCCTTGTTGTCGCTACATTAAATATCCTTATTTTGTATCCTTGTCGTCCTCGTCATCCTGCCTGCCTCCACACACCTGGACCATGACAGAATAACCGACCCTCAAGTAAAGTATAGCAGCGTCTTTCCCCTCGTTTGTTTTTTCCAATTTTTGTCAGTTTTTATTTTGTTTTTCTATGGATTACCCCGCATTCCAAATCCTCCAGCTGGAGCAGGAGGAACGCTCTCTTGAGGACCACACCAACGACTTTCTGTCCCTGGGCCACCTCACACACTACCCGGACAACTGCCTCTGTGGCTTCTATCAAGTTGGACTAAACGCCACCACACGAGCACAGTTGTCTGGGAATGGTCCTCGAGAGAGCCTCGCCGCTTTCATCGAGTGGGTGCTGGTGTCCTGCAAGTCCCAGCTGACCGTGGACATCGCGGACAACAACACCAGCCCCACTCACGACCCTGAGCCCAGCCCACCATCTCCGCGTGGTACGGAGCATAAACCTGAGCCCACCGATGACGGAGAGCCATTTCCCGCTGAGATCCACGAGCCGGAGCAAAGCCCCACGGCTGAGAAGAGGATCACCTCGGATATGGAGCCCAACACGTCAGACCAGGTGCGAGAGCCGGTGACAGCCCAGGAAGGGCTCCTGATCCCCAGTCCAGCCCAGGAAGGGTTCCTGATCCCCAGTTCCGCCGAGGAAGGGCTCCAGCCCAGGAGCTCTCTCCAGTGCCCGCTCCTCAAAAATGCCCGCCCTCCCGCCCGCTCCTCAAAAATGCCCGCCTACCCGCTCCGGCCTCCTCCAGCGTCACCATGGTCGGAGTCTCCCTCGCCTCCAGCCTCCGAGGCCCGGACTCTGCCTCGGTCCGTAGACCCAGTGGCTCCACCCTGGC